ACGAATGTTAGGGATTGATACGTAGAAGGGGGGCATGATTTTGCCCTTAGAGCTGAGATAGGGGAGTGTTGAACATGTCCATAGTCCAACTTTTAGGCCTGCTCATAAAAAAACCTCTAACTTTTTTCTTAGCCCTATAGCGTAAAATTTTATTAACCATTTCTGATTTTTTAAACACCAACCTGCCGTTTGACCATTCTCCACCCTTCCCTTTATCAAACAATTTTTTTTTTGCAAAATTTGTTCACAACTGTGATGTTTGAAAAAGTGAAGAAGTTTTAGCGTTCTAATGTAAGCCATTTTTAAGTTAATCAGAATAAACCACAGGGGGGGGAAACCCCCCCCCCATAAATGATAGGGTTAAATCTTTGAAATTATAAATTTTGAGTATTAAATCTAGCAGGGTTTATTTGCACAGCATACTACAACAGGTTGCAAAAATGTGAGTGCTATAGTATTAGAGGTTGAGCACAGCATAGGTCTACTACAACAGGTTGCAAAAATGTTAGAGGTTGAGGCAACTGTTTAACGTTCCTTTAGGAATGATCTTGCACCAGTAACATTATGCATAGTAACATTTAGTTCAGTTGTCAGTCCGTCCAAATTTTTAACATGTGTATTTACAACACTTTTGATCAATTGAACCAGTTTGTCTGACAGAAACTTTCAGTTTTTGGGAGTTCGCATTTTCTTGATTCTTTTCAGAAAGATTTAAGAAATTCTCAACCTGACAAACATTTCTTAACGATCAAATAATTTTTATTTGGTTGAATAAAAACAAAACTTTTTACTGAAGTTTTGGTTACATTGGTTCGAAAATAACAAAAGCATGATATAGTATTAAAATTTTTGAATCTATATATATATATATATATAATACTTTTCTTGTCTGGGTGTCTGTTCGTTTGTATCCAATAAACGTCAGAACGGCTGAACCGATTGGACCCATATTTTGTGGGACCTCATGTGACCCCAGGGAAGTTTTATGCATGATTGATTGGATTTGTAAAATTTTGAAAATTCACGAAAAAAAACCGTGAAATGTTTGTTTGTTTTTGTTTTACAATGTTTACAAAGAATTGAATCAATTGAACAAACAATTGAAATAGAAGATGGGTACGAAGCGCCCTAAAACCTTAGTATATTTAAATAGATCAAAAAAAAGTTCAAAATACAAATTAATTTTGTTTTCAAAATCTTAAAACATTTTTACCTGTCTGTATCAAAATAATAGCTGCTATTCTTATAATCACATTCAGTTGATACTCTATAGTTGGGCGTGTAAGCTAAAACAAAATTGAAAAAAAAATTTTGAGGAAATATATTATACTATTTTTCTATTTTCTTCATTGTTAAAATTCATAAAAGTTTAAAACAAATATAATAAGAAATATTTTATCAACAATCGCAATATTTTATTCACCCGAAGGATCCAAGCCACAATTCCCTAAGTATTTCATCTTAGCAACATTTTTCTGATAAACTTTTAATTCTTTTGGTTCTTAGCTTAACCCTGAAAATCTGGTCACGTTGGGGACTCAATCAGACTTGACTTAAGTGTTTTTATAAGTTAGATTACAAATATTTTGCAGCATTCTTTCCCATAAATGTCTAAAAATGTTCAGAAAAAAAAATTATGAAGCTCAATAGCTTTATTTCATGCCATTAAACACCTAGATTTTTAAATATGGAAAATAACCTTCAACAATTCTAATATATTCAGATTAATAATATTGCAAGGAGAAAGAAGTGGTTTAAACGAAAATATAAAGAGAATATGGCTCGGAGGAAGATTTGTTGTGGCTTGCCGTGAGGCCCCCATTCCCCCCTCTGCAACCCACCTGTGAATCCAAAAGTTACTACGGCAAGCCCTCCTGCAGCAGATACAAGCCACAACCAGACAAATATTTTCTTTTGAAATTTACCAAATTGTCCAATGTAAGCAAGAACCTAAAGAAAATAATGTTTTCGAAAATAACGCCATATTTTAAAACACAAAAATAAGGATATGATTGACAAAAGCCAAAAAGTTTATTTATTTATTTACATTATTCAAACCTTTTCATACAGTACCATTAATATATTTATTGAAACCATGTCATACGGTCCCTTTAATAAATTTATTCAAACCTTGTCATACAGTCCCTTTAATATATTTATTAAAACCATGTCATACAGTCCTTTTAATATATTTATTCAAACCTTGTCATACAGTCCCTTTAATATATTTATTGAAACCATGTCATACAGTCCCTTTAATATATTTATTGAAACCATGTCATACAGTCCCTTTAATATATTTATT